TTCCTCAAGGGCAGTAACTATCTTTTATCTTTTTTTTTTTAAGTCCCTAGTGTTTACAAGGTTCCTGGCATATAGTAGGCTCTTATAATGCTTTTTGACTGATTAACTGCATAAAAATAAATATTAAGTTCATTAGTTTGGCATTCAAGGCCTTCCAAGATCTGACTGCAGTATATCATTCCAGACTTATCTACTACCACATTCCTCCATGCACCAGCTGAAGTGGCCTATTTGAGATTCCCAAACCTGTATTTATAGTGTTCCCTCCTTCCAAAGTATCTCTACTATGCTCTCTACGGCTGCTGGAATTTTATCTGTCCTTCAAGGACCAACTAAAATGCCACCTCCCCGTTAAATCCTTCCCTAACCAAAAGATCAAAAGATTTAAACTGTAAGGGAAGTTGGAGGTCATCTAGTCCAACCCCCTCATTTAATAGATGAGGAAAATGTATTTCAAGGAGATCAAGAGGTTTGCCTGAGGTCACAGAATTACACGTGGCAGAGCCAGTATTTGAACTAAGATCCCCTAATTCCCAAACCAACACTTTCCGCCATAACACACCGCCTCAGGAGAACACCCCACATCACTTTATTCAAACATCTCTTGACACTTAATGATAATAATATGCACACATACACATATAAATTTATATACACGTATACATATGTGTGTATATGGATGTATGTGTATATATGCATGTAAGTCTATCAGCAACCATAGCTGTCATTTATGCAGCTGTACAGTTAACAAAGAGAGGTTGCATGGAGTAATGGACAAGAAGGGGTCTCAAAGTCAGAAGATCTGAGTTCAAGTCCTTCTGACCCATACTGACCCCTGGAAATAACCGCTTAGTGCCTCTTGGGCAAGTCTCTAAAGCTATATATTGCAGATCAGGTGGTGATCTCTGTCGGCACAGAATATTTTCACATTAAAACATGGATCCAAACTGTTTCCCCACCCCCCCTCAAAAGTCTGACAAAACCTACAGAATTTCATTTGATCCTCACGATACTGCTATAATGTAGTGCAGATATTATTGTCCTCATTTTACAGATCAGGAAACTGAGGCTCAGCAAAGTTAAGGATTTCTTTTCATTTCACTTTAACAAGCGTTTATTAACTTCCAAGGGGCACTGTGCTAAAAAACTTACAAAGAAAAAGACTAGATATTCCTTGCCTTCAAAGAGCTTACATTCAGGTTACCCATAGTCTCACAGCTAGTATCAAAAGATTCAGACCCACGTCTCTATTGAATCCAAGCCTAACATTCCTTCCACTACAGCATGCTGTCTCACTTGCCATATTTTGCCTTGTATCGTAACTATTTGTATATATGTCACCTCCCAACTAGACCTGAAGTCCTTCAAGACCACTTTGAATCTCTAAATCGTAGAATCATACATTTAGATCTAGTTCAACTCCTTCATTTTCTCGAAGAGGAAACTGTGTCTCATATTATTTAAGTGACTTGTCTAAGTTAACACAGTAAGTGAAAAAAACAGAATTTGAACCCAGGCCTTCTAATCCCAAATCCACTTCACTTTCCACAATATTCCAAGGGGTAGATAATCAATAAAATGTGGTGCCACTGATGAGTCAATAATTATTCAGAAAGTATTTATTAAGTGTGTGGCATGTGCTGTTGATATAAGGAAAAGCTAAAAAGTCTCTGCCCTCAAGAAGCACACATTCCAATGGGAGAGACAACATTAAAGCCATTTATACAAGATTCATACAGAGTAGATGGAAGGTAGTATCAGAAGGGAAGGCTCAGGAGCCAGCAAAAGAACTCCTGCAGAAAGTGAGAGTTAAGCTGAATCTTGAAGGTAGCCAGAGAAACTAAAAGTAGGAGGTAAGGAAGGAGGGGATTTTAGGTATGGGGGACAGCAGAGGCAGGAGAGGTGTTATGTGTAACACTTGTGACAGCAAGGAGGTCAGCAAAGCTGGGTCGTATAGAATATGGAAGAGAATAAAATTAAAAAAAAACTAATGAGAGTAGGAAGGGGGCAGGTTATGAAGAGTTTTAAATGATGAATAATTTCATTCTGAAGGTAATAGGAAGCCACTGGAGCTCACTGAGCAGTAGGGTGGCATGATCAGACCTACACTTTAAAACAATAGCTTTGGCAGCAGACTAAATGTGGATTGGAATGGAGAGAGGTTTGAGGCAGGTAGACCGATTAGAAGGTTATTGCAATAGTTCAGGTGAGAGGTTATGAGGGCCTAAACTTGTGGTATCTATGTAAGGAGATTTATATGAGATATTTTATAAAGGCAAAACCAAAAAGATTTGACAACAGATTGACTATCCTGGTAACTAAGAGTGAGGAGTCAAAGATGGCGTCAAGGTGGTGAACCTGGGTGACTGGAAGAATGGCGGTGCTTTGTGTTAGGCCTCTCAAGGTTATTACATTTCAATAGTAAACAATGTTTTTACAACAGCAACAAAAAATGCTCTTCTAATGGTAGCATTTCAGATAGTAATGGTAGAATTTCAGGCATCATCCAGTCCTCAACTGTCTCTTCAGTGGAGTTGGTTTTTCATCAACTAACTAGGAGAAGGAGAATTTGAGAACTGTGGGAAAGCTCTAATCCAGAGAACCATAACAAAAGGGACCCTAGACGTAGACCTCATAGGCTTCCTTGGATTAGGGAGTTCAACACATGCTGCAGCACACTAAACATTTAATAAATGTTGAAAAGAAGAGACAGAATGGAATTGAGATTAAGAAAATTATTCAGTAAACATTTATTAGACACCTACTATGTGTCAGGTAGCCACAGCATGTGTCAAATAGTAAAAAGCATAAATTCTTTGGAACTGAGTCTAATTGATAAATGATGTTTATGTTTAGAGTATGTCACTTTTCTTCTCTGTTCCTATCTTACATAACCCAGATGATTTCTGCTACTGTTCACCTTTGTTTCATATAAAGAGCTGGCCTTTCTCCTTGCCGAGGTTAACTCCTCTACGTGCAAAGTGATTCCATTCCATCCCATCTCCTCCAGCAGATTACCTCCTCCCTCATCTTCTCCTCTCACTAATCTTCAATCATTCCCTGTCTACTGGAAGCTTCCCCACTGCCTACAAGCATGCCCCTGTCTCCTGCATCCTCAAAGAACCTTACGTGTCTGTCTCTGTTAACTATTCTCCTATATCTCTCCTCCCTTTTGTAGCTAACCACCCTGATTATTCTTCTCCTTAATACTCTCTACTCTCTCTGTTTTTGAGACATTTTCTCTATAGGTTCTCCTATCTGACAGTTCCTTCTCTGTCTCCTTTGACAAATCTTCATTCATATTGTATCCTCAGTGGTATGAGTCCCATAAGATTCTATTCTGAACACTCTTCTCCTTCTGTACCATTCCACTTGATGATCTCATCAGCTCCTGTGGATTCAATTATCACCTCTATGCGGATGATTCTCAGATCTATTTGCTTAGCCCTAACTCCTGTTCCATCCTCCAGTCTTGCATCTCCAATTGACCATTGGCCATGTTGAACTAGATGCTGAATAGACGTCTTAAACTCAACATTCCTAAAATTGAATTCATTATTTTTCCCTCCAAGCCTTCCTCTTTCCTAACATCCCTATCTCTGTGCAAGGTGCCAATATTCTCCCAATTGCCCAATAATCCTTATGCTCTCATTCTTTCTCACTCCCTCCCATACTCATTCAGTTAGCAAATCTGACATGTCTACCTTTGTAACATCTCTTGTGCATCTCTTGTCCTACCTTCCTCTGGTGCTTCAACCACCCTGGACCACTTCACACCTGGACTATTGCAATAGCCTGCTGGCTAGTCACCCTGCCTCAAGTCAGCTAGTCATTCAATAAACATTTGTTAATCACCTTCTACATGTCAAGTACTGTGCTATGTGCTGGAGATACAAAAAAAGGCAAAAGATAGTCCCTGCCCTCAAAGAGTTCACAATCTAATAGGGGAGACAATAAGGAAACCACTAGGTACAAACAAGCTACATACAGGTTGAATAGGAAATCACTAGCAGAAGGAAGGCACTAGAATTAAGAGGAGTTGGGAAAGACTTCTCTCTGCTCTTCAAGTCTCATTTTCTATTCAGCTGTCAAATTGACCTTCCTAAAATGCAGGTCTGGCCCTGTTAAACCTGTCTCCTCCCCCACCCCCATTCAATAAACTCCAGTGGCTTCCTGTTGTCTCCAGGATAGATCATAAAATCCTGTTTGACTTTTAAAGCCTGATAACTTGGCTTCTTCCTACTTTTCCATTCTCACACCTTACTTCCCTCCACACACTCTATGAACCAGTAACATTTGCTGCCTTGCTGTTCCTAATACATGACACTCCATTTCCCATTTTGATCATTTTCACCGGTTATTTCCCACGCCTGAAATTTTCCCCCTTCTCCCTTCTGCCTCCTGACTTCCCTGACTTCATTCACCTCTCAGCTTCTACAAGAAGCTTTTCCCAGTCTTCCTCAATCTTAGTATCCACTCTCTGAGACTATCCCTAATTTATCTTTTACATAGTTTGATTGTTCATGTTTGTTTCCACGTTGTCTCCTCCATTACACCGCGAGCTCCTTGAAAACGTTGACTTTCTTATGTTTTTGTCTTTCTTTGCTTTACTGTTGTTGTTCCACCATTTCTATAGCGTCTGAATCTTTGTGACCCCAACTGGAGTTTTCTTGGCAAAGATATTGAAGTGGTTTGCCATTTCTTTCTCCAGCTCATTTTATAGATGAGGAAACTGAGGCAAATAGAGTTAAGTGACTTGCCCAGAGACACACAGCTAGTAAGTATCTGTGGCTGGATTCAAACTCAAGAAGATGAGTCTTCCTGACTTCAAGCCATGCACTCTACCCATTGTGCCACCTAACTGCCCTCTTTCTTTGCATACCAAGCCCCTAAAATGGTGTTTGGCACATTAGTAATCACTTAATAGATTTTTTAAAATAGATTTTTATTGATTTTTTAAATTTAATAGATTAATTTAATAAATTGCTAATTGACAGACTCACATCTTTTCCCTAACAAACCCATGAGGTAGCTAGCACAAATAGTTTACAGATGAGAAAAATGAGTCTCAGAAAGGTTTGCTCATCTATTTCTTATGGCATTTCTCACATTCTGCCTTGCCAATGGTCATATAATTACTTCTTTTCTTGGACATGTAAATGGAATAGCTAGAATTCAAAAACAAGTCTTCACTCCAGTTCCTGTACTTTTTCCTCTTCACCAACCATATGGATTTCAGGGATAGCAGTGCTTCAGTTTAAGAGAGGATGCTTCAACATGCTTCATTGTCAGGAACTCTGTTACTAGAAGTAGAAAAATCATAAAAAGTAAGAGTAGCATTTCAGGATCCCTTCTTCCCATCCAGACACTCCCACTTTTCTTCCTCTAACAAATTAAGTAAGTTTCCATTCCCTAGTACTCTGGGCATTACGAAAATGTCAGTCAGAAAGCATTTATTAAGCACCTACTATGTGCTAGGTACTGTGCTAAGTGCTGGGGACACAAACAAACCCAAATTTAGTTACCGCTCTCAAAGAGAGCACAGTCTAAAGGGGGAGAAAACTCTCAAGATAGTCGTTGACCACTGGCAAGGCCCAAAGGATAACCTCCCCCACTACCACCAATTCTCAGATAATCTAACAATTTAAAATCAGAAAAGGTAACTCTAGGCTCATCCAGTACCTAGCTGGACATCCAGAAAGGCAAAAACTGAGACAGACAGACAGTGACAGGGACAGGAATAGAGAAAGATAAAGTGAGAAATAAAGACAGCAAGAGAGGTAAAATTTCCTCCTGTTCTAGTGATATAAACACTCTACCAATGGGTCAGTTAAGAAACATTTATTAAGTTTTTGATATGAATCAGGTATTGGGCTAGGTCCTAGGGATACAAAGAAAAGTAAAAATATGATTCCTGCCCACAAAAATTCCTTGCTTTCTAACAGGGGAGGAAAAGAGAGTTTTGTTCCTAGAGGATATAGTGATCCATTTGTCATTTTGTGGTCTTTTTCCCATTCTCTAAGGAACTTTGGCTACAACAAGACTAATTTGTGACTTCCTGTCCTGATACAAATATCACTTTCCATTTAATTCTCTCTAGGCTTAGAGAAGACCTCTACGCATATGATTCCTAAATCTATTTATGCAGCCCCGACCTCTTTCCTGAGCTCTAGTCCTACACCACAGACTAAGTTTTCCACTAGCACCTTCTCTTTCAAACTCTCTATTCTAACTTATTTGTTACTTTACCAATGCAAATATAAACACACAAAGATGGAACTCATCCATGCCTGCTTACCCTGTGCAATTTTTATCCATGTCCTCCTATAAGCTTACCACAGAAGATCCAACTTGTTGGAGACCTCTCTTTGCTTCTCATGAGACAGTAAGGATACCAAAATATAAAAAACTTAATTGTTGCTGTTCAGCCATTTTTTCAGTCGTCTGCAACTCTTCATGACCCCATTTGGGGTTTTCTTGGCAGAGATCCTGGAGTAGCTTGCCATTTCCTTCTCCAGCTCATTTTACAGGTGAGGACACCGAGGCAAATAGGGTTAAGTGACTTGCCAAGTGTCACACAGCTAGGAAGTGTCTGAGGGCAGATTTAAACTCAGGGAAATGAGTCTTCCTGACTCCAGGGCCAGCCCTCTATGTACTATAATGCTGCCTAGCTGCCTCTGTATAGAAACTGTCCTCTTGTTATCCTCAATCTTCTCGTTCAATCACATACTTCTCTGATGCCATATTTTACTCCAATTCTTCTTCAAAGTTCTTTTTTTGTTCATTAGTTCTTTGTGTGCTGCCACATGCTTATATTCTCTATGACAGTCTCCATTGCCCTCTGGTTGACAATTATTTTTAATGCTTCAAAGACTAGTATGGTCCATGTTTCACAGCCATTTAAAAAGAGCAGTAAAATGTTGATATTGAAAAGAAGGGCTTTTTCCCATAGACACCAAAAAATTTATTAAAAAACTTTTTGTAGTAGCAAAGATTTTCCCTTTTCTATCTCTCTGTTTCAGTTCCTTTCTTTTGCATCCTCACCATTTCCCTGAAGGCCCTCTTCTTCCTGAGAAACTATATGAGTTATTTTCCCTTCATTGCTAACTTTTGACCTGATTAAGTTATATCACATATTTCCTGCTATATTCTTCTTACACTCTTCTCTTTTGCCTTCCCATTCTGCAATTTAGTCCCACTTACAAGCATTGATTCACCTTTAGGTGCAGTGTTGTGAGGTGTATAGTACACAATATTTCAGGCCTAAAGTGTCATCACTTCTATTTGAATTCCACTTTCACCCTTATCTTCTTGTGTACCAATATCTTACTGATCTTTTTGTTGTTATTTCATTGTTGTCGATGATGATGATGTTAAATCCATAGACGTCTTTCCATTTTTAGTTGGAGATTTTTATGGGACAATTTATTTCATGATCTATATCTTCCTTGGTTGCTATATTTGTTTGATTATCTCTCTGTTCTTTTATTGTTTCTATCTCTGGTTATAATATTTGTTTTCCTTTTTTGTATTTCTTTGCCTGGAATGTTTGAAAAGAAAGTAAGTTGCTCAGCTCTGGTATTCTTTGTAGGAATGCTTGAATCAGCTCTTTTTTATTTTACTGAATGTCCATCTTTTTAAAATTAATGACTAGATTCACGTCTGCAAAGTATGTCACCTTAGGTTGCTTCTTTCACTCCTCTATCTTTCGTGACACATTATTTCAATCCCTCTTGAAGTTTCTGGTGGCTATAGGGTAGTCTTGTGTTATTCAAGTTTCTTCTCCTTTGTATTTGAAGATCTTTCTCCTGGTCACTTGTAGAATTTGCTGTTCATCATTATGTCTGCTAAATTTAACCATTCTCTGTCTTGGAGTTTGCAGCATAAGGTTTGGGCTTGTTGATTTTTTTTCCTGGAAGCAATCTATGGATTCTTCCTATTGGCACCTTATTTCCTGTATTCAGAAGTTCTGAGCAATTTTCTTATGTTATTTCTTGCATTATTATATTAAGGCTTTTTACCTTGTGTTCTTCCGGAAAACTTGTAGTCCTTAAGTTCTATCTGTGAATCTTGTCTTGTGTTAAAGAGCAATATATTTTGCTTATAGTTTAACATTATTGCTTTTTGCTTATCTTCTCTCAGATTGTTCTGCATTTCTGCATTCTCAATCAATTGTTCTCTCTTATTTCTTTGTTGAATTGTGTAGCCTTGTATTTAAGGTTTGCTACACTGCCAATTATTCCTAGGGTACAGACCATAAATTTTGCTTTCACAATTCTTTTTTTTCTCTCTTGAATTATTTGGGATTATCCTGATGTTTTCTTTTTCATTCTTTTTAGAATCTATGAGAGTCAGAGTCAGATTCAATAAACATTTATTAAGCACCTACTATGTGCCAGACATTGTGCTAAGCATTGGGAATACTAAGAAAAGCATCACAGTCCCTTTCCTCAAGCAGCTGAAAAGTGGAAGGGAGCATAGTGAAGTCTTTTAGCTGGGGCAGGAAATCATTTGGTATGAATATCAGAGTTGATTTCATCCTACAGAATGATTAGTTTCTAGAAATCATGAAAACCAGATTAGGTAGGTGGGAAATAATGAAGCGGCTCTCTTGGGTGCTCTCCTTAAATGGTGGAGAATCTGGGAGGAGCTCTCCAATGGCCAACCTTCACCTTCTCTAATCAGAGATAGAGGTGGGGACCCAGGGGTAAGAGTGGTGAAGAAGTGTGCATTTAAAAGTTATTGAAGATTTGTCTTGCAGAATTTGATCTTGTAAAATGATGACTTTCTGGTGATCTTGAAGCCCTGGAGATCAGCTGGGTATGAAGGGTGCTCTTTCTTATGTTTTTTTTCCTTGTTCTTGCAATATTTATTCAGAGACATTTGGATGTATTTAGATGATGAGATCATATTGCATTGTTTTTAATCTCTTTCCTGTTGGTTTATCAACCAACTCAAAGTTTTTAACTAGGTTTTTCTTTCTTAAATCTTTGGTAATTTTAGTCTTTTTTTCCCTTATTTCCCTTCATTGCTCACTTTCTGACTACTACCCCTTCAATTGCAGTTTCCCTGCGATCTGGAAATCAAAGCTGTATCAATCTACTCCCACACTGGCAATTCCTGCTTCACCAGCCTCAGTCTCTGCCCCAAATGATTTCTGGGGGAAAAGAACTGGCCCTAGCTGTGGTAGTCCCCTTTCTCTCAATCTTACTGAAATGCCACACATGCCTCATACCTTGGCATTCAGCTCCAGTTCCCTCTGTTTCTCAGTTCTCTAGCTAAATACTATTACAACACAACACGCTATGTGCTATAGTCTCAGCTAGAGAAACCTTCTCCCTTTCATTTTTTTCCTGTGGCACTTGGGGAAGAGTAGGGTAGAGTTTAATTCTGTTCTAGGTTCTAGGAAGCTTGTGCTCCCCTGCCAGAGGGTGGTGGCTGGTGGGAGAGGGAGTACTAAGTGAGCACGATAGAGGTTAAGGACTGACATTCTCATAGTCCATTTTGGTTTTTACCTTGTTAGAGTTCTGGGTGTTTTAGAACATGGAGACAACTAAAATTGCTTTATCTCTTGTACGTAATTCCTATTTTGGAAAAGTTGAGACATCATGAGTATTGAATACTCTAGTCCTTCATCTTATGTCTCTGACTAATTCTTTTCTGGAAGTATCCACAATATAAGAGGAATGAAGTTTCTATGTATTTCTGCAAGTCTTTGGTTCTTTGCTCCTGGCCTAAGATTTCCAACGTATTTCTCACCATCTTCAGCTATTTCTACCTTTGCATTGAAATCTCTAAGAATCAAAGGGTTGATTTAATTTAGAAGGTGAGTTTTTCAATTAATTTCTCTAATACTTCATCCTCTGTAATTATCTCAGTGGTCATCTATTTGCAAATATTTATCCCAAGGCCTACAATACAAGATGACCAAATGTAGTATGAAATAAAGTTTTTAATTGCCTTTGAGTGCAGAGCAAAGCCAACTCTGCCAATTCCTTTATCTGTTTCACCAAGGAACTTGAGAGTCATGCTTCCATTGAGCTGCAACTTCCTTCTTTCTTGTGGTTGCATTTATAGTAAGAATTTTAATATCAATATAATTGTTTCTCCACTAGCATGTATATTTGTTAACTACTGAATAAAGATACCATATTTAGAGTTCCAATAGCCAAATAAATCTTTGGTCTAAAAATATTTGTGATTCTTGGAGTACTCTATCACCATCACTGCAGAAGAAGGAAGGTAAAAGGGACTGGAGGCCGTTCTATATTTGTCTTTGTTTCATGGGTTGCCAAGGCCAAAG